TAGTCCTCGGGGTCGGGGCCTGGGGGCTGCGCGGCTGCGCTCGGGAGAAGGGGAGGGGTAGGAAGGAGGAGGCAGTGACCCCTAACGCAGGCCCGCGTGCTCTGCAGGGGAGGTAAAGCCCCTATCCCGCCCCTGGGCCTCAGCCCGGGACTGGAAACAGCCGCGAGGCCTCCCTGCCTGCCCCTGCACCCTTGCACGTCTTCGTTTTGCTTCTTCTAGCGCTTGCCCAACCCAGCAGTTTTCTTTAGGCGGACCTGCAATCCCCGGGCTTCCTTTTGACAGTCCTCGGCCGAGCCCCGCCTCCCGCCGCTGGGAGACCAGGGCCTCACGCCAGGACTTTGGCGGCTGCGCTGCTCCTGGCCCACGTGCTCGCGGCTGGTCTGCGGAGCCTGTCGACTCGAACGCCTTTAGGAGCGTGACAGGCGTTGCGCGGGGAACCTGGGTGGGGCCCGGGCCCGCGCGAAAGTCGGGGGGCGGAGAGGTGAATGAGGCGAGCTGGGCGAGGCCGCCCCCAAGCCAGCTTTCGGGCGCCCAGGCTCCCTGCTTGCTCCCTGCGGCGAGTGAGCTGAGCCGAGGAGCCCCTTAGCCTGGCGTTCCGGCGGCCTTGCACCTCGGCGCTGCCCTGGAACGCAGAGTTCCTCGCCAGTGTGCTTTCGCTCCTTGGTGGGGAGGGCCTGGCTCTGAGCCCGCAGCTGCCCCCCACGTGTTCAGCAATAATCTTTCTGCCGGTTTCCTAGGATTTGATTGTAAAAATTTAACTGCAAATGTCCATTTTATTTTAGGGAGGGTGGTACAAATTACGACTGGCTTTCCCAATTTTTGTCAGTCACCTCTTGTTAAATGATTCTCTGCACCTCCCTTCTCTTTGGAAGCTCTTTCTCCTTTTTTTAGTATTTTCTACAAGACGGAACCTATGGGCCTTCATTCTGTGTCCATGGAGGTGATGTATTATTTTTTTAAAAGAATTATTTTATTTAACTTTATTTATTCATTCATTTCTTTCTTTTTTCTTTTTTTTAAATTTGACCAGAGAGGGACAGAGAGAGAGAGAGAGAGAGAAAGTAAGAGAGCAAGCCTCCAGGTCCAGGACTTGAACCATGGTCGGCCATGTGGGAGTCCAGCGTCCTCAACCACCATGCTACCTGCCGGCCCCAAGGTGATGTATTTTTACAGACTGTCATGTTTCTCTTGCTACTTTGTAATGTGTTCTAATGTTACTAGAGTGAAGAGATTAAACATTCACAAAATGGGAAAAGGGAAAATCCATAGGTTATTGAGAAAGCAGATCAGGGGTTGCTAGGGGCTGGAGTTGGGGAAGAGGGTTTGACTAGAGAGAGGCACAGGAGAATCTGGGAAGTGATAGACCAGTCCATACCTTCCTTGATTGTAGAGTTGGTTATACAGCTTATAATGGAAGCTCGAGAAACTGTCCCTGGGCTGGCAGGTGGCGTGGTGGTTAAGGTGCTGGACTCCCACATGGCCGACCGGGTTGAGTCCTGGGCCTGGTGGCCTGCTTTCTCACTTTCCTTCTCTCTGGTCAAATTAAAAAATAACAATAAATGATTATTTTAAAAATACTGTGTCCTAAAATGGGTGAATTTTCTTGTTTGTAAATTATATCTTAAAAATGGGGGTGGGAGAAGGGCCAGCCAGTGGTGTGGTTAAAGTGGCTGGATTCCACGTGGCCTGCTGCACGGTTCAAGTCTGGGATGCAGTGGCTTGGAAATAAGCCCCAGTACAGGCGCCTTAGTGCCCGTGGAGGATCGTGGTGTGCTTCGCTGCGGGTGCTTCCTCACTTTCATTCTCTGGTGAGCACGCGTGCTTGATACCGAGTTAAGGGAGGAGGCAGCCAGCCAAAGCACATGACATGAATCTTTCAAAAGGGGCCAGCAGATGGCACAGTGGTTAAGGTGCTGCACTCTCACACGGCAGAAAGCAGTTCGAGTCCCAGACCTAGCAGCTTGAGACACCAGGCACGTGTGTGCCCAAGACCCCAAAAAGGTACCGAAGACAGTATCACAGCACGGCCCTCCCCCCGGGGGAATTCTCCCTCTCTCTGTCTCTCCAGGGAGCGTATGTACCCTGTGGCAAAAATCCCCCACCCCATAAAAGCAGATCTAGTCCTTGAGCAGTCTAGGAGCTGCTTGGGCCCTCAGTATTTGCCTCCACTCAGGTGGCTCAGAAACTCCCCTGCCTCCTCTCCCTGTTGTCCCTCTGGCGGGCCTGAACTGCCTGCATTATTTGTAGGGCCAGAGAAAACTGAAAATGTGAAGCCCCTAGTTCAAACCAAGCAGCACGAGATGGCCACAGCAGGGCATTAACCAAGCGCCAGGCCCTCTGAGCAGGGCCAGTGACTGCACGCAGGTGGTGCCATACAGCGGGTCCTGGCCTGCCTTGCCCTCAGCTGCCCCAGGGACCCCTGAGCCGCTTGCAGCTGTCCAGGAGCTGCCTGATCCCAGACTTCCGGAGGGGACCGTCCCCAGGGCCCTGCCCCCACTCTGGGTCTAGTCCAGGCCATCCTGGAATGCCCTCATCCCAAGCTGCTCTGAAGAAATCCCTCGCCTCAGTGGAGGCCAGCTCGGCCCTCCCCTCGGGGAGGCTCATCCTCAGTCCTTTTGTAAACTGGCAAGTGACCAGCTCTCCTGTCACCCCCATGGCCCTCAGGCCTCACCCGTGACTTACATCACTTCCGTTTTTGTTGCAAGTGACACTTTTTTTTTTTTTTTTGAGGGTTTTTGCTATAGGGCACGTGCGCTCACCAGAAAGACAGAGAGAGACAGAAAGCGAGAAATCACCCCCCAGGGGGGATGGCCACGCCACAATCCTTTATCCTCTATTTTCCTCTAGGGATCTTGGGCACGCACGCACATGTGCCCCGCGTGAGCTTAAGCCACTGAATCTGGGACTCGAACCACGATCGACTACGTGGGAGTCTAGCGACATAGCCATTATGCCAACTCCTGGTCCCCAAGACGCAGTTTCTTGTTTGAATCCTATCTAAGCTCCCCACCAGGGTGGTGGGCTGCCCAGCTGATCGTCACTGTGGGGTCTGCACCTCTAGAAAGCTTCCTAATGTCCTGCCTCCTTGGTCTCAGAGACTTCCCCCCAGCCTTCCGGGCTGCTCTGCTCCAGGCTCTGTCACCAGCAGGGAGCCTCTGCTCGTCCTGCCTGGTCTTGGCACTGGGCACTGGGACTCGGCACAGAACCCGTGTCCTTTAGTGGTGAAGGGAGAGCTGGAGCCCTCCCCACCCACCTTACCTGCTCCAACCCTTCCAGGGGAGAGGGGTGTGCCACTCAACCCTACCCCCGACCCTGGGGCCCTTCGGGGGCTGGAGGAGCCAGAGCCAGCTCTAAAAACAGAAGACCTGGGGCCAGTAGGTGGCATGGTAGTTAAGGGTGCCGGACTCCCACATGACTGACCACAGTTCAGGTCCTGGACCTGGCAGCTTGATTTCTCACTTTCCCTCTCCCTCACTCTGTCACTCTAAAACAAACAAATAAAAAATAAAGTTAAATAAAGTAATTCTTTAAAAAAAAAAAAGACCCCCACCCCACCACAGCCCCCCAGAGACAGACAAAACGACAATTACTGCCACATGAAAGCTGGGGGGCATGGATGCTGCGGGCACACGGGAGGCTACGGCCAGGGCCGGCTGCCTTGAGCAGGAGCCGAGCACTGTGAGCGGCTCTGGCTGGAGGGTGAGGGCCGGAGGCCCGGGGCGCTACTGAGGTCAGAGGGCACCATCAGTGACTCTGGAGGACAGAATGGCAGAGGCCCAGGTCCCACGCTGAGGGGCTGGAGACCAGGACACACGAAGCAGGGAGCCTGGAGTGGGAGCTCCATTTCTACAGAGTTGGCTGTCTGGAGCTGGCCCGCACAGGGAGGGCTGCAGGGGAAGGCTGAGCCTCAGGGCAGCCAAGGAGTGGGGAGGCGAGGGGCTGCCCCCCTGCCCCCTCTAAGCAGTAGCTACTACGGGGACACCTGTGCTCAGCTGGCCAAAGCCACCCAGCCGGCTTGAGGACAGGGGAACTGGTTTGCCCAGCACGGGTGAGCTAGCACCCTCCCCATCTGGGCCTGGCATCTGGGCCTGGCCGTGGTTTCTGGCACAGCTGCCAAGTTTTGGTACCGCCCACCAGCCCACTCCCCGCTGGCTACACTGGCCAGCCCGGCTCCTAATTGCTGGGTGGGGCACTGTTCTACAGAGCTGGTACAGGGAAGGTGGACGCTGATGGCTCTGGGGTGCGTGGCTCTAACCAGTGCCTGGCCACCAGGAGGGGGATCCAGGCTTCAGGCCAGCACCTAGCCCTGGGGGTTCTCTGGAGGGGTTGTTGACCCAGAAGCCTAAGTTTGGAGGGCTTATGAAATGGGAGTGGGCACCACCAGTGGGGAGTGCCCTTTCCTTCCTCAGGCAGGGGGCCAGAGGTCAAGGGAGGCTAGATGGGTCTTCCCTAGGCCCAGGGGTCTGTGGGACACAGGCTCCGCCCAAGCCCTGAAGG